CTGAACTGGTATTTGAAGTTTGAATATTTATTTTGTTATTAATTAATTAATTTTGTTATTGTTATTTTCCCTGAACTAAATGATAATATGATGTATGTTTATCTACAATTCAAACTGAAGTTTCCTGTTTTCATTTATACGTCTGTTTAAACAGGACATCAGTAAACAATTATCTTCCCACCAACAATTAAAACCCTTTAAAAACTCTAACAATGATCCAGCTGTTTCCAGGCAGCTTACTATTTTATATTTGGTGTTTTTGGCCATTGTTTGTTGTTGTTGTTGCTGTTGATTAAAATTTTTGTAAAATCAGTAACCTGAAAGTTGCAAGACCCTTTACCCTTTGTTTTATTAAAACTATCAAACCACATTTCACACTGAGTAGGTGGAGCAAAGAAAAAAGATCATTCAGGTTCATATTTTATGAAAGAAATTGTTTTGTTTTTCAGTTTGGTTTTGACTGTTGGAAAATACATTTGTTGACATCTTTTACAACACTGAGACTTTGTATTTTGAGAGTTTAACAGAGTTGTTATGAAACGGCAGATAAATCAGCACGCAATAAAAAAGATCATTCATGTAAACTAAGGTTGGGCGAGTATTTATCGACCATGGACGACAGGCTGAGGCTTTCACTGGTCGTTTTTACAAGAGCGATTTATTTATCTGCCCATGAGTAAGTTTGCTTATAATGTTGGTTAAAGCTAAGAGAAGCAGTCAACGGGAGAAAAAAATAACAGGGCTGTTTTAACGACATCTTCTTCCAGCTGCAAGCAAATGCACTCTCGTCAGAGTGTGCCCAAATGCAGCAGCCACGTTTTATTTTTTTGGCAACCAGTTCCTCCATGTTTAGACTTCTTCTGTGTTCTAAATGCACAAATCAGTCCGTGCATGATTAATTGCTCGGCCCATCAAAAAGTCACCTGTGTGAATTTATCGCCTATTGTTACTTACTGGACTGATGAATGTTGGTTGGAAAATTTTTACATATCACTCAACCCAAATGTAAACGATAAAATATTAACTCACAAATAGTCTCACATTTAAAGCCGTTTTGCAGTTACTCGGCTGTTATTTTCTAACTATCAAAACATCAACAGGTTTTATACATTCATGAATTTATTTGCTTGTATTTATTTATTTTTTTCATTTATTGCAGCTCATATTGTCACCAGGATGTAATTAATGTGATTACTATTAACACTTTATTACACTCACTGAATCCTTTGAAGTCCAAAGTTCAGATGTGATTTATAGGGTTACTGCACTTTGGTGCAAAGAGCTGAAAGTTTAGTTAATCTGTGAACAGTCTTTATTTATTTATATTATTATTACTATTCCTGAATGGACAATCTGTTCTACTTTTCCTGTAACCTCAACAGCAAGTAAACCCAGAGCCACACTGACAGCACAAAGTTCAGTCATACCAGCAGGGGGCAGTGTGACACTGAGCTGCTCTGTGGAGGGCTCTGCTGGCTGGAAGTTTGACTGGTTCAGACGTGATTCAGTCTCTTCTAAAGCTCAGCTCATGAGAGGAAATAAAGGAAAAACAGTTATTCATGTCTCACAAGGAGGTCTGTACCACTGCAGAGGAGGGAGAGGAGATCCAGCTTTCTACACAGAGGACAGCAGTGACGTCACAGTTGTGGAGACTTGTGAGTTTAGTATTTTATTCTAAAGCCAGAAAGAAACACACTGATTGTCCCCCTGTCCAGTGAACACCCAGTAATTAATTTCTCAAATGAGAAAATAAACAGTATAACTAATTATAACTAGAAAACAACACATTTACCATTATCATGTCTGTGAAGGTTCTCAGTCATCCAGGTCAT